CATTTCCCTTTAAGTGAAAAGCTCTGACAATTTTCCCACATTCCAAGAGATGAAGTCATGGTGGAATTTATAATTTAGCTACTCTAACAATTTCAATGTCCTGAATATGCCTCACAGCCCACTCCTACTTTGTCTTTCTTATCCAGAACACACCCACGTATGGCCACTCATAGAGGCCTTAAGATCAGAACAGAGTTTCTTACAGATCTGTCTCCTCTGGCTTCCTAACTACTGAGCCGATGCCATGGCAAATTCTGTTGGGTCTGACAAAGTTTTCTTATATATGATGAACACTTGTTTGCTCTCAACTCTAAATCTAAATGTTAGTATATTAACTTTCAGGGCAAGGAAAATCAGTCTAGGAGAAACTAAAAATTAGGCAATTTCCATGACGGATGGAAGACATATTTTTAAATGTCATTATCAGTTCCATTTGACAATTGTTCTCAAGGGGTAGTCTGAATTCCTGAAGGTATTCACGATCCTTTCATGGAGTCTGCAAAGTCAAACTATTTTCATAATAATACTAAGATGTGATTTGCCTTTTGCACTGTGTTGACACATGCCCCAATACTGAAAAAGTACTGATGGGTAAAACTGCTGGTGCCTTAGCATGATTCAAGGCAATGGCGCCAAACTGAATTAGCAGTCACTGTATTCTTACCCACTTGCACGTGCAGTAAAAGAAAAAAGAAAAAGTCAGTTTTACTTAAGAATGTCCTTAAAGAAGCATTAAAATTACTAATTTTATTAAATTTCCCCCCTTCAAGAGGCCTCTTTTAATATTCTGTGTAATAAAATTGGAAATACACACAAATCACCTTTGCATACCAAGGTACAATAACCATCTGGAGGAAAATATTCATATGATTGAGTTGTGAGCTAAACTAGCTGCCTTTTTCATGAAACACCAATTTTACTTAAAAGAACAACTGATAGGCAAACCATGGTTAATCAGACTCGGAGATTTGGCAGACGTTTTCTCAGATACAAACCATGTGAACCTGTCACTTAAAAGGAGAACAACAGATAATATTTGCAATGATCAATTCAAGCTTTTAATTGAAAATCAGAATTTTGGAAAAACTGTGTCAACATTGTGATCTTGAAACTTCCCAATAATAAAAAATGTCTCTGATAAGAATGGTGATATTAACAATCTGATTCTTTGCAATAATGAACTGTGTCATTAATTGGAAAATCTGCATAATTCAGTGAAGCGAAATTTTCCAAGTGACCAATACATGATGCTACAACATTTATTTAAACCACTAGTAACACAGCATGAGGAGTCACTGAGTTGTTTCAACTAATCTTAAAGAACCTTGTACTTGTCAAGTTCCAGTGTAGTATCAAAGAAGAATATCTACAATCATCTGAATGGGTCAGTAAAACACTCTTTCCTTTTCCAACTCTATCTCTTTGTGGGGCAGAATTTTCTTCATAAACCTCCACCAAAACAGCATAATGCAACACACTGAATACTTAAGCAGATATAAAAGTCCAACTCTCGTCTACTTAGACATAATAGACTTACAAAAATGTAAAACAATGTCACTCTTCTCGCTAATATTTTTGTTTTGTGAATATAGTTAGTTTTCATAAATAACATTAACATGTATTTAGCTCCTCATTGTTATTTTTAAATGATTTAATGTAGATTTAAAAACTTTACCCGGAGTTTAATTTCTAATATAGTAAATATCGATGGGTATAACCCCAATAAGCAAAAGTTCTTTGGTGTTCCAATAATTTTTAAGAGTGTGAAAGAGTCTTGAGATCAAAGAGTTTGAGAACCGCAGCCTTGAGAGTGCTGTCTTTTAATGTCTTGTGAACTTGTTTTATTTCTCTCCCTCCAGCAGTGTGTCTTTCGTGCTAATTATAATAAAGAGAACATTCACATAAAAGTTGGCACCTGGTACAATGTTATAATATTTGTATAATGTCTGGAAAGAAAATAGTTTAAAAAAAGGCATTGCCAATTGCATCTATTTTTTACAGGTCTTTCTCTATAAGTCATTTCTATTAACTGTGCCTTGCTATAGATGTTTATAACAAAACATTAAAGACTGGGTAGAAAGCAGAAAACAAATTACTCTGCAGAGAACCCAGCAACTCTGCTAAAATACTGTCAGTTATTTATCTACTGTCAGCAGAGGTTGCACACTATAATCCTTGACAAGCTCAGATTCAGAAAGAATGAAGAGAGGGGGCAAGCGTTGCATTTAAGGGCCTGTTCTCATGCACAGACATTTTAACACAGATTTAAAGCCAGAATGTATCTTCGAGAAAATGTCACTTTTGATTTTGATACATATCCTAGCAAGTGGGCTCTACATTTGGTTGACTTAGTACGAGATATGTTAGAGGCTAACACTATATTTTAGACCATTCATGATCCAGCGTGGAACTAACACAATGAGGTCAGCATCACTTCATTTTCAGAGTTGGCTGCTGCAAGTGCATGATTTCATGGGCATATTTTTTTATGATAAGAAGGAGGGCTTTATTTTTGTTTTGTTAGGCAAGGTAATGACAGGCTCTGAGAATCCTTGTTGCCCTCTCTCATGTCCGCTTCTCCTTCATGTTTACAGGAGAAACGATCATGAAGGCATTCTACTGCCCTAAATACCTTCCCTCTGGAAAACATACGTGGCTGCTACAAAAAGGCAACAGACTTAAGAGCTTTCTGCAGGCAATTCTACAGAAAACCCCACTTCACACAGGTAGATTACGTAGCTCATAACACTGACCAGAACACGTAAAGTGCAAGGCTGGGGGAGGCTCACAATCAGAAGGCTGAGTAAGACACACACCCTGGTCATTTCAAGTAAAAAAACATGGTTTCCTTTATAACACAATTCATATCGACTGGTCAATTATTTGATTTCTACCCATGCGATCAGAGGTCTAAATAAATGTGTGTTTGTAACGGGGGATGTTTGATGAATGCTGAACTGGAATCTTAATTTTCTAATTCATATTCACCAATTAAAAATAAACTGTATTTTTATGAGCACATTTCCATAAATCAGATGATAAAGCACCTACCACTAAAGGGTAGGAGTTCAGCTCACAACATTTGCATATATTCTCCTAAAGAAAATATAGGCGGTTGAGATTTTCATTGAAGAGTCTTGCTGCGTTGGAACTCTAATGGGCTTAGAACAGTAAATTTTGAAGAAACTGATTGCTACCCCTGTAGCTAGTAAATGTCTGCCTAGACCCAGTGGCATTTGAAAAAAGTGTTTTATCATAAAATTATCCCAGCAGAGTCCATTCTGCAAGATAACATCATCATCATCATCATCAGTACTCCATGCAGGACCCAACAGCTCTGGCACAATATTGCCAGTCATTTATCTGTTGTCAGCACAGGTTACACACTGTAATCCTTGACTGCCTCGGAATTAGAATGTCTTTGATGTCCCCACAAGAGTTTTTTGCCCGAAGGCTTTACCAATGCTCGGCGGCGCAGTGTTTATTCCTCGTAATCTTCCTCTCATCTCCAGGCTAGCAGTGACAGATGGTTATGGGCACACAATAGTATTAAGAGTTTGATATTTTTTTTATGCCGTGCTCTCTGTACAACAAATAGCTATCAGACGCGGGCCAGAGAGCTGACATGGCTCGCTTAGGTAATGGCAAACAAACAGCTCGGGTTGATGCTTTCTGTCATTTTCCCTCCTAACCCTGCTTGTTTTCATTGTATACTCTCAAAGGTAAACTATATTAACCTTATAGACTGTTATTAAAAAGATATATCTATATGAGCATAAAGTGCTTTTCTTTTCTCTTTTTCTTACTCTTTTGATTATGAAAGTAATACTGCTGACATATTGAACAAATATCGAATGTCAACATAAATTTTTAGTGTGTGATAATATCCCCCTTCATATAGCTGTGTGTCAGGCGGGAACCCGCGGATGATGCATAGCAGTAAATAACCCAAACAAAATTAGTTCTCTTGTCAGCTTCTACCTTGTATGTCCCCAGGCATCAGTAAAATTGACTGCACGCTAGATTTTCAAAATTAGCCCTAATGTTAGCTATGTGTCTGGCAACCTCCAAGTTTCCAATGTTCTACTATATTACCCGTAAGGATGAATGTGTTACTTTTATATTTTGGCATTTACTCTTGCTGATGCGGCTTTTTTTCCCTCTTCTCCAAATTAAAAATAATTTAGCTTTAACAATAAGAATGTGCACAAACATAATGTTGCATCTCTTTAAGCAACTAACTTTAGGCAATTAAATTACATTAAAGCAAAAATATACAAAGGAAGAGAGGGAATTATTCAATTTAATATTGTTAATTTTATTAACAGAGCTCTGTCTTATTTTGTGCAGAGTATTGGATAACATGTTTCTCACTCTTTCCCCACATCTGTATGCTGGTTTGCAATAGGAGTCTACAAATTATTTATGTTAGCATTTTTATGATAACCCAGAATCAAACTTTTCAAACTGATTTTCCTGCAATAAATATTACTTCAGAGACAACCAAAGGTTAGCAGAATAAAAGGAAAAGCCTTTCAGAAGGGAGTAAATGATGACATCTATTTTACCTTGAAACAGGTTGATCTCGTGCAGATCTACTGCGCTTTAAAATCACATAAAAGAGCTGAACCCTGCCACCTTCTAAGTAAAACACGATTTAAAAATAAATGTTACTCCCTTAGAAAGGCTATGCTGAGAGTATGACATTGAATAGACAATTCCAAAAAACACATTCCATGTCAACTTTGAGTCTCTAAATTTTATGTTCATACATGTAGAGTCAAAGATGAAAATCCCTTTAGGTACCAGATGCTGCAGATCAACTGGGAGAGCTTCTGGAGTTTTAACGGGCGGGAGTCAAATCCTCGGCAAAGGCGCTTTGCCCGCCCCGGTGTGCTGCGCTTATTATTTCACCTGTAAACAGTGGCTCTCAGAACATCGGACCTAATATCAGCCCAGCATCTCTGCAGTAAAGAGGCCATAATCTGTGGGGGAAGTGAACTCTAATCAGGCCACATGCAGATTAAACTAACTGGGAGGAATAAAAACTAGATTAAAATGTTCGTGCCTAATACCAGAAGATTATCAGGACATTTTACCTCTTTAAATCCTAATTTATAGGAGCCAGGGTTAAGTTCGTGAGTTTATATTTGGAGCAATTATATGTTGCAGTTGATTTTCCTCTGTTTAGAAAAGATTCTGCTAGAAAGTATTTTGCTTGGCACAATACAGAGGCATTTGGGAGATGGTGAATTGTTTCAAATGCATTGATACATATTACAAGAGAAAGAAAGGCACCAGTTGAAACTGGTCAAATCAGTATATAATGGAAATTGTTTTTGTTTTAATAGTAATACTGTTTTAGCAATGTGTATATATGAAATAGTTTCGTAATGACAGCACGTGTGTGTGTGTGTGTGTGTGTGTGTGTGTATAATCTTACTGTTATACTTTGAAACTTCTTGAACAAGATTTGATTTCCTAGAAGTGCTTAGCTATGTGCTGTTAGTTGAGAAAATCACTACAAATAATTATCTGTAATTCAAAAATTCAAATTGAATTCAAGTACACAACTATGTATAGAAACATATCGATACCCCATTAGTAGTACAGCCACACTAAACTGATCTTTTGCTAAGGCTAAAGCAACAATGAATTACTAAGTCAGCCGTCAGAATAGATCTTCTATTACGAGTTCTATGACTCGTACTAAATTGGTGTGCCTTAAACTTACCACCGATGAGGCCAGACAATGTGCAGTGGTCTTGGTTGATCATCACCTCCAATCAAACTGTCAAGTGGATTTTGTTCACTTTGCCAACGATGAGAGCTTGATTTATTTGACGAGGGGCACATTTTCAGGGATGACTCCTGCATGACTGAGCTGCCCAGGTTTTCTTGTTGTGCAGCATCACAAGGCCCAGACTCTGCATCAAAATTCTTCAATAAATTCTCAGGACTTCCCTGCTCCCGTTTGAAGGGAAGGACCATGGTTGAAGCTGCATTGCCATTTTCTTTAAGGCTGAGCATCTTCTGTAAATGGCGCATTTTGTGCTTGGGCATGAATCTGTTACAAAAAGGGAAGGCGATACTCTTTCAGTGGAAATACTATTTAAAATGTACCCCTTACTTTTCTAGAAGGACATGACAGTGATGTATAAAACTGTGAAAGATACAGACAGAACAAAAATTCTAGAGAAGGAGCAAAGAGTAGCAGCTATCAAGAGAAAGTTCAAAAGTTTGAAATTGGACCAGACTGTCCTTGAATAGTTTCCAAAGAATTTCTGTGGTTACAAAACCTGCTCTGCACATACCATAAAAAAATAAGAGTAGAGTGATGGTTTATCACCCCTCCTTCACTCATCTTTCTGGAGTGCCATTTTCCATTTTCCAGTGCCCACATGGTCCATAAGGCTTATTTTCAAGTCTGATTTCATTAACCTATAAAAATGCTTCAATCTTCCTTGATTGACATTGGACAGTTATGCTCCCAAGACTGTTCTGTATTCCTAGGCACCTGTATATACTTTTCATGAAATTGATCTTGCTAATGTTTCCTGAAGTATCTTTTCTATTTTTTTATTATCATCTCTCCCCTACTTTCCCATAATACTTTGTCATGCAGAGTTAGATATCTGTTACTTGTTGGTAAAAGCATCTACATAAAATGAAATCAAGGAGTTTACCATCTACTGGGGAGCAAACCAGTAGTGCATAGAAAAGACAGTGGGAGATAGAAGTGAACAACCCACTACCGCGTAGTGGAACACAGTACATAGAGAATGGGCAGTCTAACTTTCAACACTGAGAACTAGAGGTTGATTCTGACTTGGGGATCCGGAAAGGCATCAAGAGAGTTTTAGCTGCAGGATTCTGAAAGGCAGAGAGGGACAAGTTCTGGAACGAGGGAACAGTGTGTCAAAGGAAAGGTGTGTGAAAGAACAAGAACTCTTCAGGGAATAAGATGCAGCCCAAACAGGCTGGGGTCAGGTCCTGGGATCTGAGGAGTGGGGAGGCAGATGGGACAGACAACCAGTGCTTTCTGAGTCTCTAGCCCATCCAGAGACTTGGCCCCTTCCCTGGATTGTTGAGCAAGTGAATAAATGGAGAGTATGTGCATAGAAGAGGCAGGAGAGGAAGAAGAACCATGGAAGAAGGGTAGTAAGGAACATCTGGAAGGGTAGAAAGTGGATCTGAAAAGAATATCACATTACTGAATTAAAAGCCCCAAAAGAATGTGAAAAAAAGAATCAAGATCCCTTAAAAAATGTGTAAAACTATATGTAAAACACTGCAGAGGTGCTATGGCACCAGAAATAAGAAACTTTTTTGGCTTTGTTATGTAGTAGATCACTGGCTCCTCCAAGGGCAGTTCCCCTGGAGGGAGCGGCAGAAGCCAGATGGAGGTTCGGGGGTGTGGATACAAGAGTGAGAGAGGCAGACAGAAAGGTAGGGAGGAGAGCAGCGGGGAGGCAAGGTGAATTTTCTTCAATAGGGCATGGGTACACAGGGGTATCCACTTGGGTGTTACCCTGGGGATAATTCCTAGGGAAGGGAGCAGGATTCTGATGAAACAGAGAAGTCTTAAAAGATGGAAGCAGAAAAACAACATAACATGGGGGATAATGGCAAGATTCTTGGTGTGTGTGGGGGGGGGAGGTGAGGAAGTAGGGCCTTATAAAAGATAATTAATCCTAGCTTTCTTACAAAACTGTGGGAAGAAGGAGAAAAAAGGAAGCTGAAAACATTTCAGGTGGCAGGTGTGTGACCAAAGCCTTAGGCGAGGTCATCCATTTCTAGAGAGGCGAGTAGAGGTGGAGAGGGAGTTGAAGAAATGAGCTGAGGGATCTGAACAGTCACTGTGAGAGGGGGAGAGGGGAAGGGGACATCCACTAGCTCTGAAAGCCAGGACTGACGAGAAACACTAAAGAACAGTTGGGGTTCTTCTGTGAGCTGGAAACAAAGTCTGGCTACAGTATGCTGTGTACAGTCCAGAATCAAAAGGCTGATTTTGGGGGCCTCTGTGCTTGTTTCACGAAGCCCTTTGTGAAAAATCACCTGAATATACAAGGACACCCTTGCTCCCAATAATTAGGTAGGTAATTGCATGTAGAGAAAACACAAGAATGGTGCTAACCCCCTAGGGATACCTTAATAAAATAAATTAATCCTTGATGTAAAACGGAAAGAAACTTTGGCATAAACAGTATAATCTCACAGGTCCAAAATATTTAACGGAACCAACCAACTTTCTTCCTGATCCAAGCTGAAAATACTGAGGTGATTTTAAGGATTTAATTGATTCTAAAAATCAATTAAAACATTCCCGCTGATCACTATAAAAAGGGGGAAACAAAAAAAGACAATGACAGTGTCTTCAATTTCTCCTAAATAAATGGAACAAACGGTAAGAGAAGGAACATCTGTACATATCTGCAAAGCAACAATAAAGCAAGCAAAGTAACCTATTTGTTTAAGTCAGATAAGGAATGCCAGGCAAGCTTAAAAAGGATTTTAACAGAATTACAAACTTAGTGCATGAAGGAATCACAATAAAAAAAAAATCTGATGGGCATCAAAACAACGTATCTTCCTTTTAGAAAACAGTATCATGACCCATCTTACTCATAAAATCCATTTACACTGTCCAGCATATGAGCAAGATTGCAAATTAAAAGAAAGGGGAGGTTGGCTAAAGGGTTGTAAACAATGGGAACTGGGAACTGACGAGGAATTTAGCTGTGGGCATGGTGGTAGGCCTGCTTTTATTCAACACATTTCCTAAATGTTCTCAAGGATGCACAGAATCCCATGTTAACACAGGCTGCGGATGACTGACTCGATAGGTGATGGTGAATAAGAACGCGGAAGATGCAGAATACAAAGATGAACAGTGTCCCCAAACTCAGCTTACTCATGTTATGAGACTGACAAAAACTAAAAATAAACCGGAATGCACATAGGACACAAGGAAAACACTGTTCGGATTGTCTGGAGTTTGACAAGATGAGCCCATGCTGATTTGACCAGCAAAATGATACGCCATTTTGTTACAGATCACGTGGTGTAGCGAAGGAAGGTACCCAGTCCAAGGGGACACACGAGCGTGCGAATGCTGATTTCATCTGAGTCACCTGATAACTGATATATGTTTGAAAATTAGAGAGTTCTTAGAAGAGCAATAATAATGATTAAGGCAATGGAAGAATTGATTTATGAGGACAGATTAAAGGAGCTAAATATGAATAGCCTGGCTAAGTGACAACTAGAGGGGTACATAATGGGAGTCTCCAAGGAAAGAGAATAATTATTTAGCCAGCTACAAGGGGGTATAACTAGGAGTAATGAGATGAAATTAAGAATGGGGAAATTTAAGCTGAATTTCAAGAAAAACTCCCTGATGGTATAATTTATTAGCTTGTGGAATAAATTCCCTATGGAAATGCTATAGCTAGGGAAACTTAATAATAGAACTGGACAAAATACCAATAAATAAATAGATAATAATCCAGGATTTGAAAGAAGGTGGTTACATGCTATGCTTTCCTTGTTTATAATATCATCTCATGTTTTTAATAGTCTATTTATATATAGTGATTGTTACCCAAGAACTATTTAGGCAATTAGTGAAATCTAAAAGGAAATGTGTCCTTTAGGTGAGGGAAGCTAAAATCAAATTAGTTTTCTTATACTCTGCAGTAGTCAGCTGAAATCATAATTTTTTTCTATTTTGTTTTTGCAGAATTGGTCTTGAAGCAGCTGGACAAATGTATTAATATTTCTAAAAAATGACAAATCAAAATAAAACAAGCATCATCTACCATCCCACACAGTCTACTCTGATTCTCTGTGCCATGAAACTCCTATTTTCATAGACATGTTTAATATGAACAATTTATTGCCATTATAGAAATCAAAAAAACTTTATTCCAGCTTTTCTAAATGTAGCTCTATGGTCAATTACTTCACATCAATACTAAGATCAAATAGGCATAATACTAACAAGCAGTTTGCTTAATAATAGTCACCACACTAATTAACCCATCCAGAACATTTTTAATCAGATGCTATTTGTAATGTACAGTTAAGAGAAGCTTGGTAATAAACCATCCTATGTTAAAAAAGAAAATAATACCTCACTGATGGGGTGCAACCGGCTTTTCTATAGACCTGGACAGAGCGTGCTGTCCTGGCGCTAACTCAATGAAGTGACTATGCAAATAGGCACATGTCTGAACACTTCCTTTCTCTTCCTCAGCTCCAACTTTGGCGGAGGTGCTAATGAGAAGAGAAAAGGTCCCGAGGAGAAGAGTGAAAGGGAGGAAAGAGAGGGAAGAAAATCAGGGAGCTGCCTTTTAGAGCATATGCCAGGTTTACTAGTTAACAATCCCCCAACTTTTCTTAAAAAAATGCTACGGCCCCCCTTGGTCTCAGAACATCTTTCCCTGCTTCCGAATTTCTCCGAAGCTCTAGCAGAACCTGTTTTTACTTTCGGAAATATTCTGATTACTGCAATCACTTCCAATCTGTTAGTAGCCATGGGACCCTACCCCAACTTGATCCCAACGAGTAGCCAATCTGTGAAACAGAAGCAGAGCCTCCCTACTGCCCCTTCACCTTTCAAACACCCTTCCTTCCCCTCACTTCTGTCTCCTAAAATAGTTGGGAGAGGCACTGCCACAAAACCCCAGTATTACGTTGGGCAATGTTTAAAGGAACAGCCGGAATGGGTATTTTTTAGACCTAAATTTGCTTGCTTCCTCCCAAACCCATATCCAAACAAAGAAGGTGAAAGCTGAACCTATAGGAAGGGCCAAAGGCCTTATTCAGATCAATCAGGAAAAGACTAGATTTGAGATGAGCTTTAACAGCTGTTAAGATTGGTGGCAAACACAAGAAATATTCTAGGCACCTTAGCCTATTTCCGCTGAAGTTGAGAAGGTAGAGTCTGTTTAGTTGGCTAACAGAGGTAGTCAAGAGGAGGGTGTTAAGATCAAATAGAAAGGCATTAAGGTAAAGTAAGTCAAGGAAATTTAGGACATTAATATTGATGCATATGTGGTTGAA